CTATGTCCAATTGGAGGCAGTAACATTATAAAAATAACGCGAAGCTAATTAAGAAGACACTAAATAAAAGCAAAAAAGGAAGAGGGGAAATTTTCCTGGCTTATCTGATATTTTGAAATAAATCAGACAATCCTCGTATATCACAATAAAAACTTGACCTATTCTTTGATAGATTTCGAATAATTATGTGTATCGGAATGTTTTTTTTTTATTTTTTGATCCATATGTATTTCTGAAAAGTTGCTACTCTAAAAAATGTGCCTATCGAACAATAAATTGCTTCTACGAATAAATGGAGCGCACGTGCTGTAGTTGTTTCGATCGATCAGTTTTTTAAATGCACACGCGGTCGTATCGAAGTTGACACGAGTTTATGATTCAGTGCAATTGGGTAATCAAAAGGGACGAACGTGCGATAGTTCCGCACAAACAACTGCAAATGTTTAGTATAAAACAACAAGAATTGTGTAACTGAATACTGTCTGGAGTATATTCATTTCTCTTTGTTTACTCTGGTATAAGCAGTTTCAAACATTTTATTGTTTTTCGTCTAATGTTACAATATAATCAACAATAATGAATAAGCAACTGGATAAAGTTTACTACATCTATTGACTTATTTTTCTATTAGGATTTGGCCCTTGTTTTGTCCGAGCTTAACACATTAGCGACGAACCTATTTTTAGGCCTGTCCAGTCAAACTGATTTAAAATCCACCATTTTTGGAAAGGAGTATTATGACTTAACAAGGATTATAAAAGAAAATGTTTTGGATAATGTCATGTGTGACACTAGTTTATAGTAAGAAACATTTGAACATAACCCAAGTGTCACAAATATGTGACATAAAAATTTTTAGCTACTACTTATAAAAAATCATTTATTTCTTTCAACATTCTTCTTCTTTCAGTGCCTATTCGTTCCGTATATTGGCAATCATTCTGGCTATAATTATTTTATTAACTGCTGTTTTAAATAAATTCGTTGTTGTTGTGGAGAACCATTTTCTCAGGTTCTTCAACCATGATATTCTCCTTCTCCCAATTCCTCGCTTTCCGAATACTTTACCCTGTAGGATTACCTTCAGTAATCTGTATTTAGTGCTGTTTCTCATTATATGTCCGAGATATTCCAACTTTCTCCTTTTAATGGTATACACCACCTCTCTTTCTTTGCCCACTCTTCGTAATACGGTCTCGTTGGTTATCTTGTCTATCCATGATATCCTTAGAATTCGCCTGTATAGCCACATCTCGAAGGCTTCAAGTTTTTTCTCCATTGCTTCAGTTAGTGTCCAGGATTCAACTCCGTAATACAATATTGAGAAGATATAACATCGTAGGAGCCTTACTTTTATCTCCAGATTAAGATTGTGGCTTTTAAAGAGTTTGGCCATGTTATTGAATGCACTCCTAGCCTTCTCTATTCTACATTTTATTTCCTGTGAGTGATCCCATTGTTCATTTACTGTTGTTCCAAGATAGTTATACTGTTTTACTCGGTCCACTGGTGTATTATTGATAAGTAGTTGAGCGTCTCTAACTTTATTTTTGCTGATGATCATAAATTTAGTTTTTGTTATATTTACTTGAAGTCCAAATCTTTCACTTACTTCATTTACTTTGTTTATTAGTTGCTCTAAACTGTTCAAACTGTCTGCAAAAATAACGGTGTCGTCTGCATAACGGATGTTGTTTAGGCGTTCTCCATTTAGAAGTATTCCATGTTCGCATTTTTCCAAGGCTTCACTAAATATTTCCTCTGAATATAGATTAAATAATATAGGTGAAAGTATACAACCTTGTCTAACGCCTCGTAGAATCTGGATCATTTCCGTTGGTTCACCTCCAAAATTCGTTCTTATTGTGGCTGATTGGTTCCAGTATAAATTTTGTATTATACGCCGATCTTTATCATCCATTTGGGCTTTTGTTAGAATATCCATCATTTTTTGGTGTTTAACTGTATCAAATGCTTTTTGGTAGTCCACAAAGCGGGTGTAAATATCGCAAGTCATATCTCTGCATCTTTGAAATAATACTTGTAGACTAAACAGTGCATCTCTTGTACCTACGCCTTTCATGAATCCAAACTGTGTGTCTTGTATTCTCTCTTCGCATGGCTTGTATATTCTACGATGTATAATTTTAAGAAAAAGTTTTAATGTATGGCTCATTAGACTTATTAGCCTATATTCTCCGCACTTTTTTGCTGCCTGTTTCTTTGGTAAGGTAATAAATTTCTGAAAGTAGCCAATCTTTTGGGATATTGCCTGTGTCATAGATATTATTGAAGATTTTACATAGTACTCTTAAAGATTCATCATCAAGAAGTTTAAGAAATTCAGATTGTACTCCGTCTGGTCCTGGAGCTCTACCTTCTTTTAGTGATATTATGGCTGCTCTTATTTCTGCCACTAGTATAGGTGGTCCTGTTTCCGTAGGTATTGGGGGCTGGTTCTCTCTCTCATCAAAAAATAAATTTCTTATGTAATTTTTTCAGGTATCATTGATACTCTCTTTGTCCACGATTATCTCTCCATTGTCATTAACAAGTTTACTTACTCTTCTGTTTTTACATTTACCTGTAATTTCTCTTACCTTCTTATGCACGTTGATCTTTAACATTAACAAAAATAAAAATGACTTCCAATAAAAAATGAAACAAGTTTAATCGTCTTTTCTGTGCCACTCAGGGTGTAACACATAACCCAATGGGCTGTCCATCACTCTCCTTACATTCCTGACATGTGTACCAGGGGACAGCCCTTTTTTGCTTGCAACTGCACTATCGACATCTTTTTCGCTCATTTTATTTTTTCATGTTGTCTTTTGTTTTTTTTTACTGCTTGGCCGTTCTGTTTGTCCCAATAAATGTTTCATCACTTCCTCTCTAAACTGAAGGTACGACATTCTTGTTTTCTTTGACGTGTTTCTATTTTTATTCAACAACCAGTTGCTATTCCACATGCACATATCTACTAAGTAAAAGAAAAGTTTCATGTACCATCTCAAAGTTTTTCGTGGTCTGTTTGTATTTTGAGAACGATTTCCGAAGTGGAAATTGAAACGTTAATAAACGTATTTTTATCTTTAATTGTGGCTTATTCCTAGTTAAATAGTAATTAAGGATTTGTTAAATAAAAATTTTTGTTACTTTATATATGGCATTTATCGACTTTCACAAGGCTTTCGATAGTATTGAGACTTGGTCCTTTTTGTCAGCCCTGAAGGATGCTCGAATAGACTCACGACACACTACACTCATTAAAAATATTTATGAACAGGCCACATTCCACATCAAAATCAATGAAGACGAAAAAACTGAAAAAAATACGCCTTGCTAAAGGTATTAGACAAGGTGATACTATTTCACCAAAGCTTTTTACCTTAGCATTGGAAAATGTATTCAAATAGCTTGACTGGGAGGAAAAAGGTCTAAACATTGATGGTGTACGTTTGAGTCATTTGAGGTTTGCGGATGACATAGTATTATTTAGTACAGATATCAAGGAACTGGAGCAAATGTTGAAGGAATTAAACCAGCAGTCAAATAAAATAGGTCTCAAAATGAACCTTCAGAAAACAAAAATAATGAGTAATTTACAAACTAATCTTGTTATTGACAACGTCAGTTTTGAAAATGTAGACCACTATATATTCTTGGACATACCATTAAAATCGGCAAAGAAAATCAAATAGCCGAAATAAAAAGACGCATACTTGGGGAGCTTTCGGCAAATTAAGCTTTATTTTGAAGAATAAAGATAACCAATGTGTCTAAAACGTAGAGTTTATGACAAATGTATCTTGCCTGTAACTACATATGGACTGGAGACCATGGCCTTCACAAAGAAAACCTTAGAGCAGCTCAGTACAACCCAAAGAGCAATGGAGAGGGCCATGCTAGGGATTAGTTTGAGAGACAGGATTCGAAATAACGTCATTCGTGAAAGAACAAAAATTACTGATGTCTCAGAACGTATTGCAAGGCTCAAGTGGCAATGGGTTCGGACACGTTGCCCGAGATAATCCCGAAAAATGGACACAAAGATTAACAAACTGGAGACCAAGAGAGAACAGGCGAGGAGTAGGCAGACCGCAGAAGAGGTGGACAGACGATATCAAACAAGTCGCGGGCAAGCAGTGGATGAGAATTGCCAAAAGTAGAAATCGATGGAAGCAAATGGAAGAGGCCTATGTCCAGCAGTGGACGAACACAGGCTGAAGAAGAAGAAGAAGAAGTTACTTTATATATACAGCTAACTATAGGAATTTCATTTTGCTTGTGGATAATCTGTAAATTCTTATTTCTCCATGTGACCTTCCCCAGACATTTTAATATATAAGCTAGATGCTTGTTTCCCCACAATTTTGTTTCAAGATTTTTATAACTGGTATGGTTGTAAAATTACTAAAATACTGAAAATGTGCAAAAGCATTACAATTTTTAAAATGTTTTTCCGTCCTTTCAAACCATCATCAGTGAAACCTGAAAGTAAGTCCCACTTTAATATAACGAACGAAAGGAGGTAAAATTGTGACTGTTAATCTAATAAAATATGAATACGATATGAAAAAGTCACTTAAAAATGGATACAAAAACGCCTACATTAATTACACTTTGATATTTTTTACTTTTTATGACTTTATTTTCTTTGAATTTTCTTTTCTTTTATTGACTGGCCAGTTGGTTGTCAAAACCATTGCCAATAAAACACACACACATTTTCTTTGAGCTTATCCTTTTCAGTTATATAAATTTCCGGACTTTCCTCTTAGTTATCATGTCCGCGCCTTGATCCGGACAACTTTTTATAATTTTATTAAATTTTTACTAAATTTTTTTAGAAATAAACCATTTTAGAAAATCTAAAATAAAATAAGCTTTGAGAAATATTGTCATAAATTACATAAAATTTAAAAATAAAAAAAAATTACAAGAAAATCGAACTAACTAAAATAAAACCATAAATCTATACATACATTTTTTCTTTACAGCTGGGCATCATCTATAGAGATATTAAACTGGAGAACATCCTGGTGGACGAAACGGGTCACATCGTTCTCACGGACTTCGGATTAAGCAAGGAGCTCCCGAGGGAAGATTCGAAACAAAGAGCATATTCCTTTTGCGGTACCATCGAGTACATGGCGCCCGAAGTGGTTAAAGCTGGAACTCAAGGACACGATATCGTGAGTATTTTTTCTTTTTTATTAGTAAATCTTAAAGATTATTGAAACGAAGAAACTATTTTGTTAAGAGTAGTACCTATAAAAATTTTAGGTAACTAGACTATACATGGGGGCTATTTAGTAAGATAATTTAAACGGTATTCATCATCATCATCATCATTAGCTCTACAACACATGGTGGGTGAGTCTCATAAGTCTCCATTCTCTCCTATTCTTCGCGTTGGCTTTCCAGTTTCGTACTCCAAATATTCTCAAGTCTTCCTCCACCTGATCCTTAAATCGTGCTCTGGGTTGTGCCTCTCCTGCTATCCTAATGATCTGACTTTGGTGGTTATCGTTATGGTCGATCGTGCAGGGTCCATTTATGAGTCCTTCAATTACTAGACCTCCTAAGGCTGGTCCATGGCATCACCCCTATCATACGGATTAGTCCCATACGCACTTGATCTTAGGCTGTTTCCGGCACCTATAACTGCTAGAGTCAGCGGTGGCTCCAACTCTTTCTGCGTTCCGAACGTCTACCTGCTTTACTTTAGTAACCGCGTGGCCTTACAGAACGTCACAAGTCTGTTAATGGGTAACTCCTTTATTATATACAATCTAGGAGTAGTTGGGCTGTAAGACTTGTGGATGGCTCCTCTATGTGGAGCCTACCCTGCCTCACACCATCACGACTGGTCCAGGAGTTCTAGAACCTCCGCAAAAGGCTTTTTCAAACTACCCCGACCTGTTCTGAAAGGTGCCCTAATCACATGTTCGGATACCACAGAGTGGATCAGCACCGTCTTGTCAGGACGTCAGCCCATTCATTCTCTTTCACACCTGTCTGTCCATGTATCTACACCAAGTTAACCAAGAACCAGCTTAGAGCTTCCAAACCTCTTAACGCTCTTAGTCCGTCAAAGCAGATAAATATGGTCCTGCCTGAGCAAGCCCTATCTATTATTTCCTGAGTGCATACCAGAATCGCAAAAATCTCTGAAACACTGATGCATAAGAGCCGAGAGCCCGGCTAGACTCAAATCTGATTCCGCTAGCATATACTACAGCGCCAGCCAGCTCGTTCATTCTGGCCCTCTCTGTGATCCAGGGGAGTACGCTCCAACAGATCAGTGCACGTTCTCGTTTCATCCACTTATCATGGCCAGTAAATTTAACCAAGAACATGATGAAATCTCAAATTGAGGGGTCTTAGTGTGCAATGCCATAGAGAACACACATTTAGCCATCATGGTTTCGTGCTCTACAATAAGAGCAGAAGATGTAGAAGAGGTAAACCCAACAGAGCCTGAAGAGTCGCTGTGTGAGTGGTCCTCATGGTTCCTGAGATGCCAATCGCCAGTGAGCCAACTGGGCCTTAACTTTGACGTTGGTGACGTTTTAAAGTATTTTTTGATTATTCTAAAATTTTTCTCCATCAAAATAATGTTAGTATTTTATTATTTAAGAACAACGGTTTTTAATGTTGACTATTATTCTTTATTATTTACATAATACATTAGACCTATATAAGTTAAAACTCTAACTCTGTCCTAAATAGTCATTTAATGAACAGAATGATTAAGAACAATACCATTATCTCCCGTTGTGTGCCTAGTTTTTATGTGTACGGGCTTCGTAAAATATAGCCGGCCATACAAACATTAGGTATCAACCACAAACAAGAACATCGCTGTCGTATTGTTGTAAGTGAATATCCAATTTCCTAATAATCCGTTATCTTCACAGATCTCGCGTCCGTGTAGGCACAGAATTCAATGAATTAATAATACACCGATCCCAACGCACCTTGTCTTCGTTCATTCATTGTTTCTCTGCGAAGAGATAGTCTCAAGTCTAAACAAATACTTGACTTGCAGGTACGGAATTCAACTAGTTGGTCACTGCTTATTTATCGATTATTCATTAATTTTTTTAACAACACCTACAGTATATAGGTTTGCATCATTTTAATAATGATTCCCATTTTTGTTTATGAAAAATAAATCACATTGTCATAATAACTTATTTGTCCGGGTAGTTGGTAGAATATTAAAATTTAAGCAATATCCTATTTTGTTATTACTAATTATAATAACAATGTATCTACGAAGAATGAAAATGGCCTACTTTACGAGATATGGAAGATATCCTTGAAGAAGTGCGTTAGTTTTTTTGACAGTTTTAACCCCAGAACTTTATACTTTCTTTCAGCACTTTAGAATGACTTTTTTCTTTCGATTTATCAAATTTTCTCTAATTATGGTCACTTGAACAATACGTACATTTTTTTTGCTTCATTTCCATCACTCAATTAGCTGTAACACCTCCTTACTTGTACGTTGCAAGTGAGAACTGAAAACAAACGCTTGGGAAACAGAAATCTGGAAATAAAAAACTCTAAAATTGGAACTATCCCTGTGTTTTGTGGTATTTTACCTGAGCTACCGTTTTAAAATAGATTGACCAAGCTAAAAATTGGACAGACACATCCAATATATAAAGTATGGGCATCGTAAAATTTTAAGGTATTATTTCAACGTGTCGCTGAACAGTAGCTTCTTAGCTAAATCATTTAGACTCCCTTATGAAATTAATTAATGTTTTTTTATTCAATTTGGAGTATTCAAGTCTGAAATTATATGCCAATTGAAGATGAGTACCGTTGACCAATAACGCGAGTTTACAATCAACGAAGGGGCCTAAATTGCAAAAATTCCAGAAACAAATACAAATATTTAAAAGAGTGTTCGAAATTCTCAAAAAATGCCATTAAATATTTATATATTCAAAATATTATTTCTATCTTTATGGTTTAACCCGTGTATATCAAGTGGCTAATTTCAGAGAATTGATATAAGGTTGAATGCTCGAATAAATGAACTTTGAAAAATTAAAGGCAGTTATATCGAGCACAATTTTAACAATTAAATCTTGCCCAAGTACTTTCGCTTTCTACCGCATCATCAGGGGCATCTGAAATAAGCCAAGAAACGTTTTTTTAAATGAAGGAAATTGATTAACTTCGTCTAAAACTGTTTGTCCTTGTTTTAGTGTAGTGTTATGTATAATCTATGTTTAATTTCATGTTTATTATATTATGCGCTTGCTGGATAGCCCAAATTTGACGAAGTAAGTCTAAAACGTTATTCACAAAAAACTTTTATCATTCATTAACTTAGAGTTTTTAATCCAAGTTAATCAATTTTCTTCATTTAAAAAACGTTTCATGGCCTATTGCATGTCCCTGATGATGCTGTAGAAAGAGAAAGTACTTGGGCAAGATTTGATTATTAAAATTGTGCTCGATATAACTGCCTTTAATTTTTCAAATTTCAGAGAAGTACAAACACCGACCCTTTTTATTGTGAATGCCTTATAATCGGTATCTGTACAATAGAAACGTAAATCATTTAGGCTCCATATATACTCAAAATGATCACATTTCAGAGGTATGTATCCCAGTAATACAGAATCAATGATCCGAGGAACTTCCGGATATAACCGAAGAGGAAATTGAATCAGCCTTAAAATATATGAAGAACAGCAAAACACCTGGAGAAGATGGCATTGTAAGTGAAATGATAAAACTAGGAGAAAAATGCGTTATAAAATCCTTAAAAACTATTTATAATGCTCTCTTCTTTGAAGGAATTACACCAGAAAAATGGAATAGTGCCGTCATGATAATTTTGCATAAAAAGAAAGATGTAACAGAAATTGGAAACTACAGACCAATCAGCTTGCTATATCATGTATATAAGCTCTTTATGACAATAATTACTAACAGACTGGAACCTAAGCTAAATTTTCACCAACCACTAAAGCAAGCCTGATTTAGAAGTGGCTTTGGAAATAATGGGCACCTACAAGTAATAAAGTTCTTAACAGAGAAAATTATAGAGTACAGCACTCCATTGATTTTAATATTTTTTAGACTTTATTAAATATTTTCTAAACAACTTAAGGAGAAATAGTCCTTTGTAAAGAACTTTTCCAAGATCTTCAGAGCTATGTGTACACGAGTTGGTTTTAAAATTAACTTTGTGACCAACCTTGTACTGCCCAAAAACATTTCAACATCTAGTCTATACCTATAAGTTTCTGGGCCACGAGATTAAATTAGGAAGAGACAACCAAACAAAAGAGTTCAACAGGAGAATATGACTGATATGAGCAGCTTCCGGAAAACTGAGAGAAGTCTTTAGATCAGATATTCCGATGTGCTTAAAAACGGAGTGGTTTGATCAGTGTGTGCTTCCGGTTCTAACGTATAGAGCAAAAACGCTAAGCCTTACCAGAAAAGTAGTAAATAAGAGATGGATGATGGAAGATGGTCGGACGACATCAAGCGCATTCAGTACAACTGGATTTTCAAGGTGCTTAAAACCTGAAGCAATGGAACAATGGTCGGACGGCATATGTTTAACAGTCGGCTTAAAATGGCTACCGATGATGAGGATAAATGAATTTTTGGTCTAATATTAAAGTATGAATCATAGGGACTTTATAAAAATCTTTTTAATAAAAGGTTTGTTCCAACACGCAACTTTTGTACTGCACAGAAATCGTCATGAAACTACTTGTACCGCTTTTTAATGCGGATGTTCATCATTCGTATTGTCCGAAGACGGTAATTTTAAAATCTAGAGAATAAAATCATAGTGCGCCGGTCAGCCCACCAAGTACTTCAAGTCAGGTACTAAAACCTGTACTAAACAATAAACAATCACAATTTTGTTTAGAACTTGGAACACTCAGAATTGCCGATTCGATGAAACATCATCTTTTTGTTGGAACGCATTTTGTTGTACTTAGGAGCGTGACCGTTATGTGACGGTTTTTCTCACCAGTATAACTTCACTACAATATCTTTTCACTTTATAGCTATTTTTCATGAATTTATTCTGCACATTAACCTAAACATATTTTAAAGTGTTTCGTATTTTGATACATGGGCCAGTCCGGTCCATCGGACTTTAACAAGGAGGTGTGGTTTCGTCCAATTTAGTTCTCCGGTC